TTCATTTTATCAATGTTTTGTGTTTATAATTTGGTTTTGTTTTTTGTTTGTGTGTAAGCTTGGAAAGGGATTAAATTTCTCAAGTTCAGAGGACGCTTGAATTGCTGAAATAAAATCCAACATTTCAACATGAGAGTGCAGTAGTTTCAACACTTGATGGCTGAAGTTAACCGTGTGGTGGTGCACATGAATACATTAATAAAAGCACTTAGTGAAATGCATTCTCATATTGGCTCTCAACACAGTAAATAAGGTTCAAGTAGATAAGAAACAACTAAAAATTGAAGTGTTCAGTTCATTCTCATGATTTAATTGTGTTCTGCATTAAAAAATATGTACAAAAAATATGGAATTGACAATAATCTTGATGTCAGTACGGATGTTCGGTAAGTGCTACACAAAGAAGGATCAACTGTCAATGAAATCGCCACCAAGAGTCACCTTAAGTGCAAGATGGACTAGGTTTTTGGATAAAGAACAACAACTGATTCTTATTGTCAAGTACGAATGAGGCAATCATAAATGGCACTAAACAGATGATGAAGAAACCAATGGCTTGCCACACTATGAAAGACGGCTTGTAAAAAACCTGAAAGAAAGAACAAGAGAAAAAGTTATAAGACATCATACAATAATTCGATGTAGGGTTCGCCTGTAGCGTCTCAAAAGGATTGGTGATACAACATTTGAACAATAATACATCAGTCATTCTCTTCCATTGTTCATAATCATTTGTTGTTCACCCCTGCAACTATTTCATCTTAATGTGAATCACTCTTCACTATTGCAAAAGATCGTTACGATACTATCATCTTAATACTAATCACCTTTCACTATTACAATCAACACTATCATCTTAATACCAATCACCTTCACTATTACAAACGATAGTTTCATTTTAGATTTACTCTTCATTGTGAAAAGTTACTACTTATATAATTTTCATTAGTCCAAGATTGATCAGTTTGCCATGACAAGTCTATCCTGAAAAGGTATAGGTCCATTGTTATAGACAAGTTATAATGATAAGAATAGTGAAAGAGGTACCGTTTAACCACTCCATACTTTAATCTATTCATGTTCTATTGAAGTGGTACTTGCCATTTAAGAACAAGAAGACGTTGCTTCAGATTCTGATCTTGTTGATTGAGACCAAGTTGCTTCAGATTCTGATCCTGTTGATTGAGACCGAGTTGCTTCAGATCCACTCCCTCATCCTGTTCTTGAAACAAACCAGAAAAAATAAGACAATTTCATTCATTTATGATCAAATTTGAAGAAGAAGAAACAAAATTACCTCTAACCAACATTGCAAGTAGTAATCCCAAGTTGCCTTCTCATTCTCATCATACTTAACATCAAGCTGCTTCTTCAAATCATCCTTCTTCCCCTGAACCAAAACAAGCTAGAGTCGAAAACCAAATTGCAGACGATGACATCTTCACACTTCCTTTATGCTAACCAAAGATCGCCCAGACATACAAAGCTAAACAAACAAGAACCGCAAGCATCCCCATTTTCTGCATGCCAAGAGACGGTAGAAATATTAAACACATGGCCGGAAATTCTCAATTCTGAACTATTTAAAAACCTGCAATGTACTAACAATCTGGACTTCAAAATGTAGTATAAATAAATTACTGAAAATTCTTTAAAGAAACCGCTCCACCAAACATTTTTCAAAGTGAAAATTTCTTTGGTTCGAAAGTAGATACCATTTGAGTGAGCTCTCTCTTATGGAAAGAAAGCTTCACAAAAAGGGGTGTAAGCTCTGATTGACCCATAGAATTCAAAACTGGAATCACTGATTCATCTTTGGAATCCATAGGTGGAACCTCCGGTTGATCTTTGGAACCCGTGCAAACAGTAGGAAGATGGTAAGAATGTATGTAACTAGTAGGTGACTAGATACTTGGAATCGACCCAAGGGTAAATTGGTAATAACACAATAGAAACAGCACAAGGGTAAATTGGGAATAACAAACCAGAACCAAGTTCCACCAAGCATAAATACATCAGACCAACTCACAGAGGCTTTTGCCTTTTGGGGTTTCCAAATGGCCGAACTACATCGTCTTCCCACCCGAAGTTTGCCTTGACGACAATTTACTACCCACAAACTCATTAGTTTAAGAATGAGGCTTTGCTCTCGAAGGGTCATTGTCCCTTCCCTTTGATTTGTCAGTGAAGCCAGTGATTTGCACAGGCAAGGTTACCCACCATCACCAACAGCAACATTACCATTCTTAGCTTCCCAACAGAACAACACAAGCACAACACGCTCTGATCTCTTTCTCTCTCTCTCTCTCTGTCTCTGTGACGAGGCTGTGATGATGACGCTTGTTTTCTATGTGAAATGATCCGACGGTGGGGAATCCTTGCTCATCATGGCCAGGCGGCTTCTGGGTATTTTTGAAAAGTGCTTGTTGCTGCGGCCATGGTGGTAAAGTTTCGATCTTTGTCTGATAAAAGGCGAATCTGAGCCTCTTTCTCTCTGGGGTTTCTGGCAAAGTAATGACACTCTTCAGATTGAGGTTATTGTGAAATGGCCGAGAGTCTCTGTCTTTCGTTCTCTCTCTCTCTCTCTTTCTATATGTATGTATGATAATGTATGCTTTTGCACCGAAATGACCTTTCTGCTTCAAATAATTCATCCCAAGTCTCTCTCTCTCTCTCTTTCTTCAGAGGTGAATGCAATGAGGCTGTGATGAAGTTTTCTGGCTTTGAGTTGGGCTCTTTCTTGGAGACCCGTTTCTTGGCGGGGCAACCCGGATACATCTCCATGACAGTTGCAGCCATTGAACTCCTCAAGGGTTTCACTTTCAAGTTGTGTCCACTCAAAGCTGAATCTGAGCCTCGATTTCTGCTCCCGGTAGCTATTTTTGAATTCTAAGGCGACTAAGCTTGGAAAGGAAACAAACTTACCAAGTTTTCTAAATCAAAATCCAATCTTTCCAATATATGGGTGGGAAAAAGTCGTTTACTCTTAATTCATTATAAATATCCCAAGTCTCTCTCTCTTTCTTCAAAGGTGAATGCAATGAGGCTGTGATGAAGTTTTCTGGCTTTGAGTTGGGCTCTTTCTTGGAGACCCATTTCTTGGCGGGGCAACCCGGATACAGCTCCATGTTGCAGCCATTGAACTCACTTTCAAGTTGTGTCCACTCAAAGCTGAATCTGAGCCTCGATCTCTGCTCCCACTATCTTTTTTTTTTTAATTTTTTTTTTTATTATTATGATTTGTTGGGAAATTGGATTCTAAGTGAATGAACTTATCAAGTTTTCAAATCCAATCTTCCAGCATATGGGTGGGAACATGTTGTTTACTCTTAATCCATCATAAATATCCCAAGTCTCTCTCTCTCTTTCTTCAATGGTGAATGCAATGAGGCTGTGATGAAGTTTTCTGGCTTTGAGTTGGGCTCTTTCTTGGACACCCGTTTCTTGGCGGGGCAACCTGGATACATCTCCATGTTGCAGCCATTGAACTCATCAAGGGTTTTACTTTCAAGTTGTGTCCACTCAAAGCTGAATCTGAGCCTCGATTTCTGCTCCCACAACTTTTTTTTTGTTGGTTTTTAATCATGATTTGTTTTTCTTTTTTTTGTTTTGTTGGGATATTGAATTCTAACTTCTGAAGTTTTCTAAATCAAAATCCAATCTTTCCAACATATGGACGAAACCTTTTCAGGACTTGGGCTGATCCCAGAAAGTTTTACTTTGGATTCTCAATTTGAGCCGAAATGGCATTGTGGTTGTGGACGTGAATACATTTGTAATATGAATGCCTCTATGCTTTGCATAGAGATAAGGCGTCATTCCTGGATTCCATTTCCTAGTATTATCACCAAATTGAATACCTCCCCGATCAGGGCAATGGGCCTGAAAAAAACTAAAATAAAGTTTTCAGCCCTCAAAGAAAGAAGCAGATCCTGCAGGCTCGAAGTTTCTATATGAATGTGGTTGGAAAATAGTTCTGAGAAGGCATCGAAGTGGGTTAGTCATTGGGTCAGATTGTTGGTTTAGGCCTAGTGAGGATGAGGGCTGGGTCAGGCCTGATGAGGCTGAGGTTTGATCATTTTGGGCTGGATTATCTGTGGGCTTATTTTGGACTTTTGATTGTGGGCCGGGTAGGCCTTGTTCTTATTCTGGAGTGGTTGAAAGCTGGTTTGTGGCCATCTGTGACGATGTTTGGTTATTCTAATGGAGTGTTTTGTGTTTGTAGGAAAGCAGTGTTTGTGTTTACAGGAAAGGAGAAAAGTGGCGGAAGCTGGTTTAGAAAAGAGGCAGATACCATGTCAGAGTTGAGCCAGCAAGAGAGGCAGAGAGAGAGAGAGAGAGAGAGAGAGAGAGTATATTATGCTGAAGATAAATTCTGAATATTGTGTGTATTGCATTCTGCACAACGTCTAATTTATTCATGAAAAGAATAAGCAATAAAGGAAATACAATATCTCATCATATTATCATAATGTTGTGGTGGTAAATCAGTAAAAAATCAATGGAGAAATTCTGAATATTTGATTGGAATATTTCATTTTAGCATTTCATATTCCATCAGATACATCTTCACACCCTATGGTGGGAACAATATTTCGGATATTACAACGACAATCCCATTATGGTTCAGGAAAATTTCAAGTACAATCAGTTAAAGACTTGGTCATACTCATCTCATTTGAACTTTGAACAAAAGGGCAAAAGAAAGGACGAAGATTGAGATTATGCTGATGCCGACTTATTAGAGCCGGCTTGATTCATTTTAACACCATCTTGAGTTTGCCAATTCATTAATATTCTTTGGCCGGCTGTTTATGACAACAATTACCACCTGCCTATAAATTCATCGCAATCCTCCTATAATGCTTAAGTGCAATGTCTTCATTATCTGATATAGTTACCTAAATTATGGGGTTATCCTTAAGTTTCTTCTCACTTATGCGCTTAATTCTTTGGCTCTCATTAATTCATTTTGTAGGACTTGTTCACTTCACTTCTTTTGTGCAGGCACTCTATCATGATGATGAGCGTTCTTTCTTGTTGCAGTTAATGATAGCCTAATTATTGATAACTTTTCTTCTTATGATCCTTTTGCTTATCTGAAGGTTGCATCCTAGAAGGCAGATGAAGACTGCTGCTCATGGGATGGCGTCACCTGCAATGAGGTTACTGGTCATGTGATCGCACTTAACCTCACTAGTAGCTGCCTCTATGGTTCTATAAACTCTAGTAGCAGTCTCTTCCAACTTGTCCATCTCGAATGGCTTAGCCTGCTGATAACTTCTTTAATGGCTCCAAAATCCATTCTCAAATGATGAATCTTTCCAGTTTATCATATCTGGATCTTTATGGTTCTGGCTTTTCTGGTAAAATACCATCGGAGATCCTAGAGCTCTCAAAGTTGGAGACCCTTGACGCTTCGTTTAATGTTAACTTGGAGCTCCAAAAGCCAGGTCTGAAAAGTCTAGTTGAGAAGTTAACTCACCTCAAAGTGCTATTTCTTGATAAGGTCAACATTTCTTCATCAGTACTTGATATCTTGGCAAATTTATCTTCGTTGACTGCCTTATCCCTCAGAGAGTGCGAATTGCAAGGTGAATTCCCAGCAAAGATATTCCAATTACCCAACCTTCACGTTCTTAGTGTGAGATACAATCCAAGTCTCTCTGGATACTTGCCAGAATTTGAAATGAACAGTCCCCTTGAAGATTTGAGACTTGCCGGCACGGGATTCTCCGGTAAGATTCCATATTCAATACGAAATCTTGGTTCCTTGCTTCTCCTGGATATTAGTAATTGCAGTTTTTCAAGATCAATTCCATCTTCACTTGGTAATCTCACCAAGATTACTTATCTATACTTAAATGGAAATGAATTTTCTGGCGAGTTGCCAATTGTCATTGGAAATCTTTCTTCTCTAGAAGAATTGCACCCTTCTTATAACAGTTTTTCAAGCCAAGATTCTGGTTCACTGTCATGGATGGCCAAGTATAGTAAACTTACTTTTTTAGGCCTTTCACGAATCAACTTAGTTGGTAAAATTCCCTCTTGGCTCATGAGCTTAACACATCTTACTTATTTATGTATGAGCCACAATCAATTAAACGGTCCTATCCCATACTGGCTCATGAACCTAAACTAATTAGAGGCTCTATCATTGTCATCCAATCAATTGACCGGCCATATCCCTCATCAAATTAGAAACCTAATACAACTTAATCTTCTTGCACTTGGGTCAAATCAATTGCAAGGTCCATTTTCTAGTGCTCTGTATGACCTTGAGAACCTTGAAGTGCTTGACCTTGGTTCAAATAATCGAAGTGGCACAGTGGATATGGACATGCTTCTTAAGAAACTCAAAAGTTTAGGCACTTTACTTCTCACTTCAAACAATTTATCATTATTGACCAAAACAAATGTTCATACAAAATTTCCGAAATTTTCAATTCTCAGATTGTGGTCTTGCAACCTTATTGAGTTCCCAAATTTCCTACAGAACCAAGCTCAATTGAGGTTCTAGACCTTTCCTCAAACATGATAGCTGGCCCAATACCTGGGTGGTTTTTGAAATTGAGCATAGATTTTATGCTTACCTTGAACCTTCCCAACAATCTTATAATTGGCTTTGCCCAACACCCTGTTTTTTTTTTTTTAATGGAATCGGCTATCCGGTAGATGTAAGGTCAAATAAGTTGCAAGGACCACTCCTATTCCCTCATTGTCCACCACTACCTATCTAGTCTCACACAATAGTCTTACGGGAGAAATTCCACTGTCTCTATGCAATTTGAATCAGTTGGGAGTTCTTGATCTGTCTCACAACAACTTAAATGGCAGGCTTCCACATTGTTTGGGCAATTTAAGTCATCACCTATCGATACTAAATTTGCAAAATAACAAATTTTGTGGAAGGATTCCTCAAAACTTAGTGAATGGGTCAAATTTGAGGATGATTGATTTAAGCGAGGATCCCAAGAACATTTGCCAGTTGTATAGAGCTAGAATTTCTTGATCTTGGAAATAACCATATCAGTGATACTTTTCCATCTTGGCTAGAATCTCTTCCAAAGCTAAAGATTCTTATCTTACAATCCAATAGATTGGAAGGTGCAATGAAAGAGCCTGAAACAGATTATGCCTTTCCGGAACTGTAGATTATTGATCTCTCTCATAATAGATTTATAGGTAATCTTCCATTGAAATACTTCAAATCTTGGCATGCCATGAAAATTGTTAGTGCAAGTCCATTAGCATATTTGCAAACGGTGGGATTGGGACAAGTTTCATTAATCACTTATGACGATGAGAGAATTGATCTTTTACCAGTGAGTTACAGTTACTCATTGCAAACGAGTACCAAAGGCGTAGAGCTGGAATATGGAAAGATCTCAAATCTCTTGACTGCCATTATTTTCTCCAGCAATAAATTTGAAGGAGAGATTCCAACATCCATTGGAAAGCTGAAAGGGCTTCAATTTCTCGTTCTTTCGAACAATAATCTCAAAGGCCCCATCCCACCATCCATAGCAAACCTAACAACAATGGAATCATTGGACCTTTCTAATAACAACCTCTCAGGATTGATCCCTCAGCAACTACAAGACCTCACATTCCTTTCACACTTCAATGTCCCAAATAACCATCTCAGAGGACCCATACCACAAGGAAAGCAATTTGATACGTTTAAGAATAATTCATTTGAAGGGAACCCAGGATTATGTGGAAAGCAGATAGGAAAAAAATGCGAAAAGTTTCGGCCTTCAAAGAATGAAGAAAACCCTGCTGGCTCCAAGTTTCCATTTGAATTTGGGTGGAAAGTAGTTCTGATGGGGTATGCAAGTGGACTAGTTATTGGGGTGGCTTTTGACCATGCTTTCTCTCCTAGAAAAGAGGAACGGTTTATGAAGATTTTCAGGAAGAAACCCATGAAAGCAATTGGGAGAAACAGAGCTCACAGAAACAGAACGTAATCAGCCTTGTTTCTTTTTCTTCACAGATTAATAAAGGGATAATTAGTTTAAACCCCGCAGGTTTGTCCCAATACAGATGTTTATGTCAGTTAATAAATGCAGCTGTGTTTTCTTCTTGCAGTGGCGAGATTTAGTCATCATAAATTCTATGATAGCTTGCTTGAAGCATAACTGTGTAATCTATGAAGAATCTTAATGGATGGAGAAAACATTACAATAGCATTAATTAAATTTATCTAGCTATTTCATTGTTTTGTGATTAATTAAGTCTTGGTCTTGTTGACCTTATTCATTACGTCGAGCTATCCATGAAAGGGGAAGAAGAAAGCTTGCAGCTTCACATTTTGACCTATGTATGAATGAAGACAATTTCACTCCTCATCCTGAATCACGAACTTGAGATTTACTATCACATACTAATACTCTTCGACCCGTACGTCTTCTACGTTCTGGGTAACCAGACAAAGATGTTATAATATCATAGAGAACTCCATTGATGAGAATGCTAATCTTTTACCATTGATTTACGGTTACTCAATGCAAATGAGAACCAAAGGCATAGACTTGGAATATCAAAAGATCTTAAACTTCGTTCGGCAACAAATTTGAAGGAGAGATTCCAACAGCCATCGCAAATATTCAAAGGGCTTCGTTTTCTCGCTCTTTCTAACAATGACCTCAAAGGCCCTATCCCACCACCCATGGGAAACCTAATAGCACTGGAATCCTTGGACCTTTCTAATAACAAGCTCTCAGGACAGATTCCTTAACAACTAGTAGACCTCAAATTCCTTTCATATTTCAATGTCCCAAATAATCTTCAAACAGGACTCATACCATAAGGGATACAATTTGATACATTTGAGAATAATTCTTTCGGTGGGAATCTAGGATTGTGCAGAAAGCAGACCTCAAGGAAAGAAGAAGATCCAGGCTCAATTTTTTTCAGCTTTTGTGGTGGGGCTGTTTTGCTGGTTTATGATGTCATTAAACAATAATTAAACGCATAACTAAAGAGCACAAAAAACTGACCATGTTAACAACGAAGAAGAGATGGTTGTCTGATTGGAGAGAGTTGGGCTTGTCCTGCGCCTAGGAGCACCCGATTATGGTGTGGCCTCGCTTGGGAAACTCTGAAGTGAGAGCTCGTCTTGGCCTCTTGCTCTCTCTGGTTGTTCGTACTGTGCATGAACTGTACTTTGTCATGCCGTTAAACGTCGTCGTCGCTACTGCCATATGGTGTCTGTATGTACAATCCTCTCCCGACTAAACTTTGTTCAAAGATAGAGATGTACACGTTTACATTAACCTTAGGATGATAAAATAATAAAAATCTTAATGAAAATTTAAAGATAATAATAATAAAAAAAAAGCTTTTTACGTTTTGGATAAATGATAGAAGAACAATTTGATAAGATTTACTCACATATAATATAATAGGTTTTAATGCCTCGTTAAGAGTTTATTAACGACAAAAGCTTTGGAAGAAATTTTGGGTAATATAGAAACTTTAATAGAATACAAGTATTTTCTTTTTAAAGTAGGGTGTTTAAGACAGTTTAGGTATATCTTGATTAATCTCGGTAAGTCATTATTTTAACATCTCACTATCATGATCACTCGTTTAAATTTTAATATTTATTATAATAACGCACTATCGACTGGATCTAATCGGTAGTGTACCGATCTGGCTTTTTTCGGCTAGATCTCTGACCACATCTATGATTGTTGTTAATGGCTAGATGTGGCCGGATCTGACCGAAAAGTTGGTCTCTTTCTTGGATATGGTCGAAAAAGGCCATAGCGGTGTACGATCAGCCAAATCTGGTCAGTCGTGTGCAATGACACCAGATTCCGACAAGGGTGGGGTGGCCAAAATCTTGCAACTGTGGATGGGTGGTGATATTTTTATCAATTTATAAACTTTTTATTATTGGGGTGTTTAGCTAAATTAACAAACCTAAAAGTTTTTTCTTGTTAATTTTTAAATCATACCTGTTAATAATAACTCAATTTAACTTAACAATAATGTTTCAAAATTACTAATCATGGTGTTTTAAAATCTTATATTTATTTTTAAAAAAAAGGCCTTTTAAGGTGTAACGGCCATTTTGTAACTTTAACTGCCTCTGAGGACCGGCATTTCAAACATTTTAAGTGTGATTACAGATTTTCAATATAAACGCCAGGTGTATACTCGGCTTTAACCTCTAATCAATGAATCATCTCGTGCAAACTGCAAACAGCTCGCGGTGAATGAACTCGTGCAACAGCTCGCGGTTCTTTCGAGGAAACAATTAAACAGAGCTAGCTCAAATCAAACATCAGAAAATTCAAGTTTAGGTAATTTTCGCAGTGTTAATTGATATTTCTTGAATATCCCAGTTGGTATTTCTTGCCGGATGTTAATTCTCTTTTGGTTTATTCATTTGCACTCTAACTGTTTGTTATTTTCCCCCAACGAACAGAAACCATTTAGTTCTATCATTTAAATGGGTCTACCCTGGCCTTAAGATTGAACTGACGGAAGTACTGTAACTTGAATAAAGTTGATGAAAGACAATGATCTTGATTTCTGCGTGCAAGAAATGATAGAATGTTCATTTAGCATAACTTTTGTAAATTGTAAGCTTTTTTGACAGAAATTTAATGGTTTGATAGTTCATAGATAGCACTTTATCAATGGCCTAGAATGTTAGTTCTGATACGAATGGTAGGCGGGTTTTCAAGATTCTAAATCAACTAGCTTCTGTGTATCTAGGATGATGGCAAATGGACCATCTTTTGCAGGATGAATAACTGATTGTTTTGTTCCCTTTTTCTGATAATTATATGTGCATTTTTGTAGCTTTGTATAGACGGTGCTGATATTGTATCATGATATGGTTGCTTAGTGAATGGTAGAAGATGGCTAGAGAAAATGTCACACTAATGTGTTACTGGAATGGGAAGATAACAAATGGAGCACAAGGCATTACTTATGAAGGTGCTGTCCCAAAGCCTACCAGGGTTAGCTATGAAACAACGCACAATCAGTTGCTGGAAAAGATGTATGAGATTACTCGGTTTGACCAGCAACAAATTAAAATGATGATCATATGCAGGTATCCAACTTGTCGGGAATTCATACCTGTGCCCATCACTGATGATGAGTCTTTAGATATTGTATTTGATGTGGCACGAAAGCCTGGAACAAATTGTTTGGAATTGTATTTGGAAAGAGAACCAGCAAGCATAGATAGCCAAGTAAGTATCACAACTCAAATCCATGTGGATAATCAAGTCACAAAGTCGGTCTACTGTGATAATCAGGTAAATATACATAAATTTCTTGACGTCATGGGATTAATTTTCTTTGCTTTAAAGTAAGAGTTGTGACAGTTCTTTATACAGATAGTAGTAGATGGGGACAAATGTAATGCCAACCCTGATACCTTTTTAGACCCAGGGCCAAGTGACAAGTCTGTGCTTGTGTTGCAAGACCAGCATAGATCTGAAGCCATATGGGCAGGAGAGGTTAGTATCACTTCATTCTCTAGCCATCTAGTGTAGTGATTGGTTCAATGCAAAATAAGTGAAGAAAAGTGAAGTCAATGCAGTACTTTGATTGCAGGACCCTGGTGTCTTAACATGTAGACAGAGATTGGGTACAATGATGCGAGAGTGGCAATTGGATCACCGTATTCGTCATTTTGTTGTCGAGGCTGGGTTCTATGGGGTATACAGAATTGGTTTTATTCAACTTGACTGGCCCTTGGTCACTGCATTGGTTGAGAGATGGAGACAAGAGACACACACCTTTCATTTTACTGTGGGTGAGAGTACTGTCACACTACAAGATGTAGCAGTACTGTTAGGCCTTTGTATACATGGTTATCCAGTGACTGGTAGTGCTGACCTCCAGTGGGATGACCTCTGTGAAGAGTTGTTAGGAGTGAGACCGGATCCTAGTGCTCTTCATGGTTCAACCCTGAAGCTTAGATGGTTACGAGGCCATTTCCAGCACCTGCCATTAGATGCTGATGCTGTAACTATGCGGTGCTATGCTAGGGCATATATCTTAGGCTTATTGGGGTCTCTTTTTGCAGATAAATCTGGTTCGGATGTGCAATTGATATTCTTACCTCTTCTAAGGGATTTTAAGTATGCAGGGAAATTTAGTTGGGGTAGTGCTGTACTAGCATACCTCTATCGTGAACTTTGCCGGGCTAGTAAGAAGGGGGCCAGTGAAATTTCTGGTCCTCTAATGTTGTTACAGGCATGTATACTAAAATATACTTTCAAGTACAGCATATAAAGCTTAATATTATTTTTTCTCTTGATATTTTGTAAATTCTTATTCCTATAGTTATGGGCATGGGAGCGTTTGCATATTGGTCGCCCTGAGAGGTTTGTTGCTCAAGAGCAGGATCCAATTATTCCAGATGGTGAAGTTGTAAAGAATAAGGTGCAAGTTTTAGGAGTTGAGATGGTCAATCAGGAGACATTACCAATAGATCCATTAGGATGCAGGTAGTATAGCATACTATTTCATTAATATATGCTTTTCAATATACTTAATTGTCTTACAACTATTTTCTTCTAGAATAGATGGAGGTCTCCTGTCATCCGCAGAGATAACCCTCAAAGGGCATTGATATTTTATCGAGACCAGCTTGATCAACAAACAGATGATCAGGTTTACTTTTGATTGAGTGTTCTTTATGATCTTGTGCATTTGATGAGATACACTTGGTTGTGCTAGTACCTATTTTTAAGTGGAACTTTCCTATTAAAATTCAGATGATATGGCAGCCATACATGTCTGAGTCACTTGTGTCCCTAGCAGATGTATGTGTTAGAGACCAGCATGTGTGGAGGACAATTGCTCCACTTATTTGCTTTGACATTGTTGAGTGGCATCGTCCTGACAGAGTTCTACGTCAATTTGGTCTCAAACAAGGAATTCCTGTGCAGTGTGATACTGAGGTGAAAATCCATGTTATTGATAGACGGGGTCGACATCATTACAATTGGAAAGCATATCATCAACAATATATCAAGTTATGGGCATCTCGGGAGAAGAGTATAGTTACCGCTGAGCTTGAGGAGAGCACTATGCATCATCATGATC